CAAGGAGGATAAGCCTAAATCCTCTCCCGTGTTTCCCCTCCACTCTCCAGTCCAGAAGATGCAATGTGACGTGTGGCCAAGACTGAAAGGCAACGTTTAGGATCAGGCAGGGCTGGGCACCAGAGAGAGCCCCAGGATGGGACAAGGCAGCCCCTCAGAAGCCCCAGACTGGTGGGTCAGGGGCAGAAGTGCTGTTGGGAAGGCATCCCAGGATCTTCCATTCCATCCCTCCAAGGGAGGTGGTTGAGATGGCTTCACCTCCTGCTCACCCATCACCCTGAGCTGCTGTCATGGCAACACATGCTTGGATTCAGGAAGGAACAGGTACTTCAGCTTGTTTACCCAAGAAGGAGGCAGCATCCTGGTATTCTGAAGAGGAGAGAAGGAGGGGATGAGCCAGCAGTCAGCACGGGAGCCCACAGACCTGGACCTGCATGGTGTGCAGGTCTGCAGCCTCCATCCACTGTGGTTCTGCTGCTGATGGCTGGGAGCTGTGCTCGTGGGGATGGTGACAGTCCCCACACCACGCTGGGGCCCCACATGAGCATGGGGTGATAGAGGACAGGACAAAACTGGGACATGCTGGGCACTCAGCACCAGCTTTGCCCTCCAAAGGAGGGACCACACCTCAGAAAGGTCCTTTAATGCTCACCAGGGGCTGCAAGGAAAACACAGATTGCAGCCCCACCAGGGCTCTGGCAGGGCTCCTGCTTCTCCAGCCATTTCCCAAGAGCAGCCCCAGGACAGGGCACATCCATCACCACCCGAGGACCACGAGAAAATGCAGAGCCTTTCCTTTGGGACCTCCCTCTACCTGGAGGAGAAGCAGGCAGTGCTTTGATTTCAGAGCTCCTGAGCCCAAAGGAGCCTGAGCAAGATCTTTCCCCCTGCAGGAAAGGGCTGCTTGGGAGGCTGGTGACCACCTCCACATGCAGCCCCTTGAGAAGGGGTGGAATCTCACTTGCAGCAGCCCTCTGCAGTCAGTGCCTCCCTCCTGGGATAGCAGCACCAGCACCAGCAGCACTCCTGGCTCCCCTGGGTGCAGAGCAGGCAGGAGTTGGGGGAAGAAAAGCTGTCTAGGAAGCTCTAAAAGAGGCCCATGCTGGAGGGTTTGGAGTTGCTTCCAAACTTTCTTGATTTTCAAGAGATTTGGTTGCAACCAGCCCGTAGGAGAGCCACAGTGTGGTCAGGATGACAGAGCAGGATGGGGGCTTGCCCCTGTGCTTCACACCATTCCCCTGGCACACAGATCTCACCAGGCTTGCCCCTGTGCTTCACACCATTCCCCTGGCACACAAATCTCACCAGGCTTGCCCCTGTGCTTCACACCATTCCCCTGGCACACAGATCTCCTCACCAGGTTGTGCCTGCTGTGCTTCAGGCTTCATGTAGGGTCTGGCTCAGAACCAGACCCTACAATCCCTAAATCCACTGCTCCAAACTCACAGGAACCTTGTCTGCAGCTTGCTGACCCAACTCAGCTCTGGAGAGTGGGCAAAGCCAGGTGGCCTCCTGTGCTGCAGCCCTGCTGCCCACAGCCTGAGCAGAGGTTATTTTGGGGCTCGCTCACTATCACCAAATGGCCTCTTCATGAACACCTCAAGAAAAACAAAAAGCAGGCAGTTATCACCGTGGTGTCCTGCAGGCTCCCTCCATTTCCCCAGCTGTGAAATGGGTACTTGCACTTCCCACAGGTCGATGAGAGCTTTTTCTGGGTATCATCCAGACACTCATTTCATTCCTGGAAGCAATGCTCACAGGGGAGGGAAGCCCAGAGAGGCACAACGCAGTTATGGGTGACTCAGCTGAGCATCCCAGGCCTTTTCCTGAAGCTCTGGTGCAGGCAGGCCAGTCTGAAGATGTGTCCTTTGATAGCAGAAAACATCTGCTGCAGATGTCAGGGGGCTTCCCTGGTCTGATAGGTGGCTGTCTGGTGAAGTACATGTTTCCCCCTGGCAGGACCTCTCCCAAAGTCAATATATTTGCTCCATATTTGATGTGTCCCATCCACAACACACAGCTGAGAAAACTCCCTGTACAACAGAAGCTATCTTTGGAGAGAGCTAAAAGAAGGAAATTATTAATAATATATGGACAAGGCAGCTCAGTGCTTTGTGGCACATGGGCACATCTCTGCAGGGCGCTGAGCAGACCCTTACAGTGGGGTTTTCCTCCTGGATGCCTTTGGCAGCTCTCTGCTCCCCATCTCCAGGACAGCCTTAGGGAAACCACCTGTAAAATGGGCAGCAGCCAAAGCTGGATCTGCCGAGCCCCATGTCCGCTCTGCAGGGAATTTAGGCAGCCTGCAAGTGCAGCTGTGCCACTGTGTGCTTCCCTCCAACATCTGCCTGTCCTGCTCACTGAAAAAAAATCATGGAGCTGCTGCTAATTTCATTAGCAGGCCCGTCAAGCGGTTCATCAATCCATGATTTCCTGGCTTGCCGCCTTGAGGAAACAAGCGGGATCTGCTCTGAATTCACAAAGCCATCCCCTGGGGTCATTTGTCTGAAGGCTTAAAATTTCCCGAGTGCATTATTATCTCGGATTAGAACCGGGGGAGGGAGGGGCCTCGGTTTGTTTTTCTGCCCATCCCGGGGGGCGAGGCAGACCTCCCTCAGCCTCCAGCAGCTCCGGAGCCGCGGCAGGAGCTGCCCCGTGCGGGGCACGGGCGGAGCAGAGCCCGGGCCCTGGGGGTGCAGGGGGCACCGAGAAACACCCGTGCTGGAGCTGGCAGAGGCCTGGCCCCGCGCCCCGAGGGGCTGCGAGCCGCACCGAGGGTCCCGCACGCCGGGTCCCACCCGCCCGCAAGGACGGTCCCGTCTGGATGGTCCCGTGCCCGCACCGAGTGCCCCTCCCGCACGGGGATGTCGCACTGAGGGTCCCGCATTTCACACTGATGGTCCCTCTTGTCGCATGGGGATGTCGCACTGAGGGCCCCTTGTCACACTGAGGGTCCCCCCCTGTGGCACTGGGAGTCCCTCTGTCTCACTGAGGGTCCCCCTGTCTCACTGAGGGTCCCACTGTCGCACAGGGATGTCACACAGAGGGTCCCTCTGTCACACGGGGATGTCACACAGAGGGTCCCCCTGTCACACTGAGGTCCCCCTGTCACACTGAGGGTCCCCCTGTCACACTGAGGTCTCCCTGTCACACAGAGGGTCCCTGTGTCACACTGAGGGTCCCCCTGTCACACTCTGGGTCCCCCCTGTCGCACGGACGCTCCGCAGGGTCCCGCGCGGGCGCGGCGGTTCCGCGGCACACAGCGCCCTCTGCCGCCCGCCCGCGGCACCGGCTGGGAACGGGGAAAGGGAACGGGGAAAGGAACGGGGAACGGAACGGGGAACGGAACGGGGAAAGGAACGGGGAAAGGAACGGGGAACAGAACAGGGAACGTCGTACAGAACGGGGAACAGAACAGGGAACGGGGAAAGGAACGGGGAACGGAACGGGGAACGGGCGGTGCGGGAGGGAACGGGCGGTGCGGGAGGGAACGGGTGGTGCGGGGCGGGCTCTGCAAAGTTCCAGCTGCAAATCCATGGCCGGTAATCCCAGGAAACAGGGAATTTGGGAACCGTGGTTCGTGACATTATAAGGAGTAGGAACTGCAACTACGCCGACTTCAGCCAAAAGCATCTTGATAATAAAAGGAAAAGAAAAAAAACCAGAAGTGCCACCCTTTAATTCAGATATGATGAAAAACTTTTATTCTTACCCCATCTTCTAATTTTGGTAATGTAACCACTCCTACCCCCACAGTCCCAAAAAGCAAGGCCATTATTTTTAAATGGTAAACATTCCTATAAAATGCAGAGAGGCAGTTTTATATTGGAGGGAAAGAACAAAGGAAAGAACAAAGGAAGTACCCCCAATTTTCCACTATGAACCCTTCTGGGTTGATATTTATTTCCCTGTGTGTCCTACCATCATTTTAGCCAAACTCTTCGCTCAATTTCACTCAGAACATGAACTCCCTTCTGCACCAAATATTTCCCTGCTTGGAAACAGCTCAAGCCCACCCCACGGGTGCACAGGCCCAGAAGCAAGAAGTGAGGGGTCATTTATACATACCCTGAGGCATGGGTGACAGTGCTGCTTGCACTGGTGCTGCTGGCAGGGGTTTGGGGGCTGTCCCTGCACTGTCCCTCTCTCCAGCAAGCTGCTCACACCATGGAGCCCCCATGGCTGCAGCACAGCCTGGCAGAGCTCTGCTGGCTCTCACAGTGGTGCCACATTTCCACCCTCACACGTGTCCCTGTGGCTCCTGCAGAAGGCAGGGGCCTCTGCAGCCTGCAAAGCCCCAAAACTCCCACTGAGTACAAGAAAACCCCCTGCCTAAGAAAATAAATGTGTTCTGTGCTCTCTCTGAGCTACCCACAGCCAAGAAAACATGGGCAGTTGGCTCCTGCCATGGCTTTGTTCTTTAAAAACATGTCCTTTCAGTCAGACCTGTCCTGGCACATCTGGCTGTCACTGGACAGAGGAGAGAGATGCTCTCAGTCTGACTCCTGCTCGTAGCACTGCCAGCACTGCACTTGTCACCCAAGGCACCCACAGCCCCAGTGGGAATCACACTGCTTCCACGGGAAGGGCTGGGGAGCGCTGTCCCCAGGAAGGTGCAGTGCTCAAGGCACCAAGCCACCTGCACCAGCTGCCCCCTGACAGCACCAGACAACAGAAGAGAGGGGCAGCAGCTGCAGGCCTGCCAGCTCAGTGCCCAGCCTCAGCGAGGGTGCTGAGCAGGGCAGTGGCACTGACCCAGACACGCCTCTCCATCTGCAGGTGTCAGAGGCACAGTCTGGCCTGTCTTAGCTGAGGCTGGGCATCCTGTGGGTAAAGAGTTTGTGGGTGCAGACTGGGCAGTGTTTGCAGACCCTCACTGAGGACTGGTGATCTGGAGTGAGTTATAGAGGCTGAACCCAAAAGGCAGTGAAAAAAGTGACAGGTCAGAGGAGGAGCTGGGACAATCCCCTGATTTGGAGCTGCCATCAAGGCAGTGCCAGCAGCAGTGCTAAGGGCATTAAAAAAGGCCTTGGCAAGGCAGCCACAGGGTCTGCCTTGTGAAGCAGCAAGCACTGCCTCAGCACCAGGTCAGACATCATCCAGCTGTGTTCCCCCTCACTGCATCCCACCCCCAGGTGAAGCTTCCTCCTCATCCTCAAACAGACTGTCTGAGCTGTCAGAGAAGAAATCATCCCATTCCTCCTGCCTCATCTTGGACTCCAGAGCAGTGATGCGCTGCTTGAGCTTCATCTGGGCGTCGTTGTACTCAGCCAGCAGCCGGCCAAAGCGCGTGTGCAGCGTGTCCAGGTTTGAGGCCACCCTGTCCAGCCTCTCCTCCATGCTCTTCCCTTCTGTGCTTTCCTCTGCAGCTGACTCATCCAGCAGCCCTTCCTTCATGAGGATCTCCCTGCCACGCTCCTCCAAGATCCTTTTGGCGTCAGGATACTCTGTGACTGCTTCCATGAGATCTTCCTTAGACAGGCAGAAGAGATCAGAGTAGCCCAAGCTGCGGATGTTGGCTGTGCGCCTGTTGCCCATCTTGCTGCCTTTGATGTTGAGGATGCTGATCTCGCCAAAGCAGCCCCCTGCAGTGAGCAGAGCATACTGTGTCACGCCATCATCCGCCACCACGGCCAGCTTGCCCTCCTTGATGATGTACATCTCCTTCCCGATGTCCCCTTTCCGGCACACGTAATCCCCCGGGCTGAACACCTGAGGGCGAAGCTTCAGCACCAGCTCCACCAGCAGCCCTGCCTCACAGTTCTGGAAAATCCTCACCTTCTTCAGCGTCTCCAGGTGAACGTTGATGGCAATCTCTGCCCTTAACTTATCAGGGAGGTTCTTGAGGACCTCCCGTTCGTCTACTGCCTTCTTGTTGGTCCACAGGTAGTCAAACCACTTGATGACTTTGGTTTCCAGGTCTTTGCTCACCTTGCGGAACTGCATGTAGTGTTTGACGGCATCAATTTTGGCCTGGAACTCCGCCCTGGTGGCGTTCATGTTGGAGATCATGGACCCCACGTTCCCCACGATGGTGGCGAAGATGAGGACGCCGATGAGGAAGTCAAAGATCACGAAGAGGTACTCCTCATCCCGCACAGGGGGAGGGGTCTCCCCAATGGTGGTCAGGGTCAGCGTGGACCAGTAGAGACAGTAGACGTACTCGCGGGTCAGAGAGCTGTACTCAGGGTCTGTGAGGTTGGGGTAGACCCAGCTGTCCTCCCCGAAGCCTATGGCCTTGGAGATGGCGTAATAAATGCAGGCGTTCCAGTGGATGATGACCAGGATGTACAGCACCAAGTTGCTGATGCGGAAGATGTTGGGGTGGCTGGTCCTGGTCTCGGTCCTGTCGAAGAACTCAAACATGCGGGAGAAGCGCAGCAGCCTGTTGAAACGCAGCTCGGGGCAGTGCAGTCCCACCCAAAAATAGGCCAGGTCTGTGGGCAGGGTGGAGAGAACATCCAGCTTGAACTGGAGCGTGGGGATGTAGTTATCCCGTAACTTCTTCAGGTCCTTAACCAGGAGGCCCTGCTCCAAGAAACCTAAAGAGAAGCAAATCACAGGATTATCTTGGCTGAAGTTTGACTTTTCTGCAGGTTTTGTCTATGGTATGCCATGGATTTGTTTGCATAAATACACAGGGTCACACAAATATTACCAGTTCCTGCTCTACTCAGTTTGTTATCACTCAAGGCAAAAGCCACCCAAAGATATAACTCAGGGATTTAGTCTCTTGCCACGAAGAAAAAGGAACACAAAGGTTTCCATCCTGCAGATCATGAATTATTGCAGTTCTGTCAGAAAACGTACAGCCAAGTGCTGCCTTCCGAGAACATTAAATTCTACCATTTTTCCATGCAGATAATTCATTAGCTGAACTGATGCAAAATCAGAGATACAGACCTTCAACTATGCCCGAATACGAATAGTAATGCAGGTAATTTTGTACAATTATTCGAAGGTGAAGTTGAAAGCTGGGATGATTAATCTTTCATATTGAAACTTGCTCCATTTCTCAGATCTTCTAATTAGATTCTTTCTCTGGAGACTTTTTCATACCAGTGAACGCCAAGGTAGGCAAAACCCTCCTTCTAATGGAACCGTGGATTGGGCCTGTCCCTTGCAGCTCATCTCCACTTGTAAGGGATTGAAGGAAAGCCAGCTCCTGCTCTGCTCACCTGTGTGCAGGCGGATCACTGTGTCCCCGAGGTAGAGAGCATCTGAGATGTAATCCAGCACCAGCCACAGCACAAAATAGGTCTTTTGCAGGTCAGTGAAGCAAGCCCTGGAGGAAGGTCATCAAACAGGGTGTGAGACCACAAATCCCCACATCTTCTCTAACTATTACAGCTGAATGTTGGCTGATCCTGAGGCGCCCAGCTCTGCAACAGAGCTTGGCCACTGGGCACTCCTCTTCTAGGAATTAAAACTCCCTGCTCTGAAAAATCTGCCCTCCCTTGATGGAGGTAAAGCAACACCTTGAAACCACCTCCCAAATGACCCTGAAACCAAGGCCCTTTCCAGAATTCACAGTGACAGGGGAGGGTCTCTTTCCTCTCAGTGCCCACCAGCCCCAGCACCACCAGTGTCAGTTTGGTCCTGGAGCCACGGCCACCAGGTGATCAGGAGGGTCAAAGGAGGAAGGAACTCTACAGGCTCCCAACTCACCTGGCTATGAGCAAGCACCAGTTATAGAGGACAGGAACTGCAATCACAGCCAGCCAGTGGTAATAGCAGTCCCCCGCAGGGTCCACCACAAAGAACAGCCATTTCCTCCTGGAAGCAGAGATAGGAGCAGTGTATGTGGAAAACAGGGCTGGAACAAACCATGTGAGCCACGTCCTTCATCCCTTGCACCACACTGCCTCCAGCAGAGCTGCAGTTGGGTGCCAGCCTGTGAGCCAGGACCAGCCCCAGCAGTGCCAATCCCAGCTCCTTTATCCCTAAAACTGAGCCAAGAGCGCAGCAGAAGAGGAACCTGTGGGATGGTGAGGCAAAGCAGGTGGCCCACATGACAGCACCCCAGTGGCAGAGCCAGGAACAGATGCATGGAAGGGGGATCAGAAAAGTTCTCATGATGTGCATGACATTGCTTCTCCCAGGTGAGGCAGGGACCAGTGCCAGGCAGATCTGAAGAGTAATTGGAACAGGAAGGAAATTGTGCTGCAGATCAGCGGCAGCACCAGGAGGGGCTGCCCAAGCCCCAGAGCAGTGGCCCCGGGGGCAGCTGGCACGGCAGGGCTGCCTCCTGTGCCTCCTGCAGGCTGCACAGCCCGGGCTCCAGCCTTTGAACTGCTCCCAAGTGTTTGATCCTGCTCGCCTTGGGACTCTGAGATAAGAAGTGTGTGCTCCAGTTGCCAGATTCACTGGAGAAGCTGGGGAAGAGAAACTCTGTGGCTGGGTTGATAGGCTTATAGCAGCCTGGTGGGGCAAAACACCCTCCCCCTCCTTCCCTCCCTCCCAGCTTTTGAACACACAAAACTCCCTCCAGTGATAGAAAAAAAAAAACAAACAAAAAAAAAAAAACCAACCCCCTTGCCAACAGATTCCCCATGCCCACCCCATTACTCCTGGCAGCTTCAAAGACAGAACCCCTGCTTGGAAGTCTCCTTTCCCTAGGGTACAGGCAGTGCCCAGAGTTTGGGGACTGGCACTCATCTCAAAGCCAGCCCCAGTCCCTCATGTTCACCCTCTGGGCACCCACAGACAAGTGGTGAGCCAGCCTCCCCATTAAAGGGCTTATTTTTGACCAGAAAGTGCAGCTTGAACATTTGTTTTTTGAGAAAGGGACTCTGCTCCCTTTCCCAGTGCCAGGGGAAGTTCTGACCCACCTGCAGCCAGCATCCACAACCACCAATAACCTCAGTAATGCTGTTAATGATGTTGGTAATTTCAACTTTAAATCACCAGTGCTGCCATGACAGGAGGCCAGAATCACTGGTTTTACACTGGCAGCAGGGCCAGGGCTGGAAAAACAGAGTTAACCCAGGAAGAGGGAATAATCATCTGCCTCTTCCCAAAGGCTTTGGAGCCGTGGAGCCTGCCACGGCCATGAGCAGCTCATGTGTGGGATTGCCAGACTTGGGGCTGTTCTTACCTGTGGAGCTGAGGGCCTAAAAAACCCCAGCAGTTCCCACTGGAGCCCCAGAACCCACTGGCACTGAGCAGCCCTTTCCCAGCACACTCCAGCTCCTTCTGGTCATGAACAAGCCCCCCTGGCCTCACAGGGCAGAACAGTCTTTTCTTCCATTACTAGTAAAGACCCAGATACAAGGCTCAGATTATTTTTCTCCTAGAGAAAACAATTATTTCTTGGTGTTTTAATTACCATGTATAATGGTAGGGTCCAGAGTAGTCTGTGAGCTTTGCCCTCTAATTAGCCAGCAGAAGAAAAGCCAGGTTATTGCATCTCACCAGGAGCGTGAGCTGAGGAGATGAAAGGCCTGGATTTGAAAGAGCCTTTTCAGAAAGCTGCTCTTTGTGGGGGCACAGGCAGCAAACACGCTCCCTTCATCCTGCAGATGATGAATGAGAGTGGCAAATCCCAGTTTTGTGCCTCCTGGGTGGAGCCCTGCATCCCTTGGCCTGTGTCCAGCCCCTCACATGCACAAGCTGCAGGTGCATCTTATTGCAGACCCAGGGCTGGCTCCAAAAACAACCCTAGCGTGGGACTGGTGTGAAACTGGGGAGGTCTGATGTGTTTCCCAGCAGGGCATGGACCAGGAGGGAAGGTTCCCCATGGCTGAGGGACAGGCCAGGTCTGGAATTTCCACAGGCACAGTCCAGCAGCTCCTGTGTGTCAGGAGAGCCAGGCTGGCTGCCAAGACAGGGGCTGGAGGGGGCAGGAGGGACCCTTCCCACCACTCCACCCCACCTCCTTCTTTCCCACCCCCCCTGGAGCCCCCTGAGCTCCACACACAGCAGATCCCCAGCCAAGGATGGCTGGGACCACAGGAAAGGGACCCTACTTTTTGTTTAACCTCTCAGTCTCCTCATCCCGCAGCTCATCACCAGCTCCTGCAGGCACTGTCAGGAGCTCGGGGCCTTGGAAACGCTCCAGGAAGGGGTCTGGGCTCTGCTGCTCCTCGTGCAGGCTCTTGTTGGCCCAGTCCCTGAGCACCAGCACCAGCCGGACTATCCTGCACGGGGAGACAGGCACGCCCAGGGGCTGTTAGCAGAGCAAGGACACAGCAAAAGCTTCAAAACAGCATCAGGGGAGCTGCAGCTGGGGAGAAAACTCGCACAGCTCCCTCCCCAGCACTAGAATTTGTGTTTTATCCCTCTGAGTGAGGATGTGGGACCAAAAATATGCAAGCAATAGAGAACCCCTGATGGAGTTCCACAACTTCTGCCCCAGTGCTGCTGTCAGTCCCACAGGAATAGGAGGAATCTGTGGGGGACTGAGGCAGGGGGAGGCTGCCTGCAGGGAAAGGAGCCTCTGAGCCCAGTGGGGGCGAAGCCATGCCCCACCAAAACCCTCTCCACGGGCACTGGGGCACCAAGAGCAGCATCCACAGACACTCCTCCCATGAATTCCATGCAGCAGAGGGGGATCCTCACCCCACAGAAGGCCCCGGTGCCACGGCCAGGCACAAAAGGCTCACCCCACACCAGGGCACACACCAGTACCTGGCCAAGGCTCCCTGGCCTTGGAAAGTGTGGGCAGCCCTCTGCTCCCCCCCAGGCAGGCTGGCTCCTCTCTGCAGCTCTGAGCTGGTGCCATCCTGGGTTGAGCAGGTCCTGCCGTGGGGAAAAAGGGGGATTATTGTAACAGTGAACCCTGGAACGGGGAATAATGAGTATTGACTCCATGATTATAAAAGGTTGATTAAATGTTTTACTAAGTTATACTATATTAACACTATCCTATACCAGACTAAAACGAAAAACCCATGACCCTTACAGACAGTCACAACACCATTTTGACCCAATTGTTTAATTAATTAAAACACTATCACCAGAGTCTAATTAAGAAATCCCTTTTGGTAAATAATCTCCATAATACATTCTACACGTGTCAAACAACAGATGTAGCAAGTGAAGATAAGAATTGTTTTTTTTTCTTTCTCTGAGTTTTCTCACAGCCCTCCCCAGAAATCCTGGGAAAGTCTGTGCCTCTGTTCAGAGGGAATGTGACACCAGAGGGGATCACACCCACTCCGTGCCCCCGTGGCACTGCCACTGCCAGGCTCACTGCAGCAGAGATTGGGCAGCACAGCCCTGCCCGTGCCAGGCGTTCCCTCCCCTGCCCAGCAGGGACTGACCTGCTGGTGCTGAGCCCTGTCCCCTCGGCGTCACCCGCGGGCTGGTGGCTGGCCGGGGAGCTGTGCACACCATTGCTCTTGGCTGGCATCCTCAGGGAGAGGGGAGCACGGGCACACGCCCTGCCCCGGGCACCTGCAGCAGGCACAGAACACCACAAGGGAGCACATGCAGGACACAGCGCAGGGTTTGAACGCAGGGATCCAGCACAGCGTGGGAAGAGAGGGTCCAACACCACGGCATGGCCCACACCATGTTTCCCAGGAGTCCTGCAGGGCATTTTGTTCTCTCCAAGAGATCCCCCAGCTGCCTGGAGCCATGAAAGATGCTCTCCTCATCATTCAGGCTCCTCATTCATTGCCAGAGGAACGCCTCTTTTCCCTCCTCTTCCCTGCTCCTGCCTCCTCTCCTTTGCCTTTCCTGCTCTCCTGGCCTTCTGTTGCCTGGCCTTGCCTGCCTCTCCCCTTCCCATTCCTTGCCTTGTGCACTCCTTTTCCCTGCCTTTCCCAGTCCAAACCCTCCTTTACCATGCTTGCTTTCCCCCTCCTTGCCTTGCCTTCCCCTCCCCTGCCTTGCCTTGCCTTTACTTGCCTTGTCCTTCCTACCCCTCCCTTGCCTGCCTCCTCCTCCTTCTTTGCCTTGCTTTGGGTTGCCTTACCTGGCTTCTCTATGCTTTGCCTTGTCTTCGCTTTCCTTATCTTGTCTTCCCTTTCCTTGGCTCCTTTCCTTTCCTTGTCTCATCTCTCCTTTCCTTTTCCTTTCCCTTTCCGTTCCTTGTCTCATCTCGCCTTTCCTTTCCTTTCCTTTCCTTTCCCTTTCCCTTTCCTTTCCTTTCCCTTTTCCCTTCTTTTCCTGTCCCTTTCCCCTCCCCTCCGTTCCCGGTGCCACCATCGCCCACTTACGAGCCCGGCGTCCCCCGGAGCGCTGCCTCAGGCGGGCTGGCAGGGCTGCCAGGGGAGCATCCCTGCCCCAGCAGCTTCCAGGGCTTTTCAAGCACGCAGGCAGGGAGGTACGGGCATGGTGACAGCGGGGACAGTGCACACCCCGTGTGGCTGCCACCGCCCCGCAGCAGCCCCGGTGCCCCGGGCAGCAAGGCGCTCTCCGAGGAGCTGGCAGCAGCAGCACCGTGCCTGGGGATGAAAGGGGAGGAGGGAAATGTGCTGCTCGGGGATGCTCCATTTCCCCATGCACGCGTTCCCTGCTCCACCCACCCCGCAGCTCCTCGGGGGCCGGAGGGACAGTGCCCGGCTGGAGACCACAGCCACCCTGAGCTGCTCTGTGTCCCTGGGAGATCACACCATCCTGAGCTGCTCTGTGTCCAGGGACAGTGCCCGGCTGGAGGTCAGACCATCCTGAGCTGCTCTGTGTCCAGGGACAGTGCCCAAGATCACAGCCACACTGAGCTGCTCTGTGTCCAGGGACAGTGCCCAGCTGGAGGGACAGTGCCCAGCTGGAGATCACAGCCATCCTGAGCTGCTCTGTGTCCAGTGCCCAGCTGGAGATCACACCATCCTGAGCTGCTCTGTGTCCAGGGACAGTGCCCGGCTGGAGACCACAGCCACCCTGAGCTGCTCTGTGTCCAGGGACAGTGCCCAGCTGGAGATCACAGCCATCCTGAGCTGCTCTGTGTCCAGGGACATCCTTTCCTTTCCTTTCCTTTCCTTTCCTTTCCTTTCCTTTCCTTTCCTTTCCTTTCCTTTCCTTTCCTTTCCTTTCCTTTCCTTTCCTTTCCTTTCCTTTCCTTTCCTTTCCTTTCCTTTCCTTTCCTTTCCTTTCCTTTCCTTTCCTTTCCTTTCCTTTCCTTTCCTTTCCTTTCCTTTCCTTTCCTTTCCTTTCCTTTCCTTTCCTTTCCTTTCCTTTCCTTTCCTTTCCTTTCCTTTCCTTTCCTTTCCTTTCCTTTCCTTTCCTTTCCTTTCCTTTCCTTTCCTTTCCTTTCCTTTCCTTTCCTTTCCTTTCCTTTCCTTTCCTTTCCTTTCCTTTCCTTTCCTTTCCTTTCCTTTCCTTTCCTTTCCTTTCCTTTCCTTTCCTTTCCTTTCCTTTCCTTTCCTTTCCTTTCCCTTTCCCTTTCCTTTCCTTTCCCTTTTCCCTTCTTTTCCTGTCCCTTTCCCCTCCCCTCCGTTCCCGGTGCCACCATCGCCCACTTACGAGCCCGGCGTCCCCCGGAGCGCTGCCTCAGGCGGGCTGGCAGGGCTGCCAGGGGAGCATCCCTGCCCCAGCAGCTTCCAGGGCTTTTCAAGCACGCAGGCAGGGAGGTACGGGCATGGTGACAGCGGGGACAGTGCACACCCCGTGTGGCTGCCACCGCCCCGCAGCAGCCCCGGTGCCCCGGGCAGCAAGGCGCTCTCCGAGGAGCTGGCAGCAGCAGCACCGTGCCTGGGGATGAAAGGGGAGGAGGGAAATGGGCTGCTCGGGGATGCTCCATTTCCCCATGCACGCGTTCCCTGCTCCACCCACCCCGCAGCTCCTCGGGGGCCGGAGGGACAGTGCCCGGCTGGAGATCACAGCCACCCTGAGCTGCTCTGTGTCCCTGGGAGATCACACCATCCTGAGCTGCTCTGTGTCCAGGGACAGTGCCCGGCTGGAGGTCAGACCATCCTGAGCTGCTCTGTGTCCAGGGACAGTGCCCGGCTGGAGACCACAGCCACCCTGAGCTGCTCTGTGTCCCTGGGAGATCACACTATCCTGAGCTGCTCTGTGTCCAGGGACAGTGCCCAGCTGGAGATCACAGCCACGCTGAGCTGCTCTGTGTCCAGGGACAGTGCCCAGCTGCAGATCACAGCCACGCTGAGCTGCTCTGTGTCCATGAGGTCACCGTGCACCCAGGGACAGGCACAGCCAGCAGCCCCAGCTGGGCTCAGGTGCTGCCACACCAGGGGATGCACCTGGATTGCTGCCAGGGTTCTGCTCCACTCCCCTCCCAGCCCCTGTCCTGGGGAAGAGCAAAATGGTGAATATTTCCCTGCTTCGGAGGCTGTGCTACTGCTAGGATGGAAAACTGGGAAAAGCAGAGACATTTTAACACCCTCACATCCACCTGTTTGCCTGCTGGCAGAGCAGGCGACCAAAAGTGCTGCTCTGGAGTCCCAGCAAACAGAGCTGCAGAGTTTGAAGGTGACCATGAAATGCACCTTTCACCAATTTCTGCCCTCCTAGTTTGCTCAGGAAGTCATTCTAATGCCCAGTTAGCAAAAAATCTGCATCCCCAAGGCATCAGGAAGAGGTCAGTTTTTCTCCTCTCCCTCAGGATGTTTTTGCAGGGGCTGAGGCTGGATCTGTCCCTGACAGGCACATGGAGTGCTGCACCTTGTGCAGGGCTGATCTGAAAGCACCAGCACCGGGAGTCTCTTTTATCTTTGCTATCAAAGGTTTACCTTTTCCTTTCCCCTTCAAAGCCGTAAATTCCCCTTGTTCTGATCTCCCTGAGCACCCACGCAGCAGGGAGTCCAAAGGAGCACACAGAATTTCTCAGCCTTGGCTGGGGCTCTGGCTCCTGGGCGAGCACCCAGCAGCACAGGATGTCACCCTGCTCTTGTCCCCACATCACAGATGACAGCAGGGTGACAGCTCACCAAGAGCACCAGCAGCAACATGCGGCCCTTCCACCTCTCTTTTGCTCCCTGCCTGCAGCTGACTCCAAAAGGAACATGGGAACTCCAGGAGCTGCTCCCTCGAGCACCATCGTGCACAAAACACTTTATTTGCTGTGCCGTTGTTGTGGCAGTGGCCCTTGGGGACACCCAGCTCTGCCACGTGTGCTACCTTGGGACAAAGCAGCCAGGAGGAGGAGGCAAGGAAGAGAAAAAAGGAAATAAAGGCATCACACTCCAACAGGGACAGCATTAACCAGAAGCTTTTCTACTCAAGACTCCCCCTCAGCCAGGGCAGCTGGGGCTGAGACACCCATGAGCAGGTGACAGTCCTGCTGCCAAGGGAATAAACCTTACCTGTTCCCACTGGGACATCAGGACAGACTCCACAGAAAATAAACACGTCCAGAACACACAGAGTTTATTAAAATATGCATTTTGTGATCAGTGCTTCCAGGTTTACACCAGCATTTATGCCTTACATAGAAGTCATATCATCCACAACCTGACAGTAACCAGCTCATGAGAACACATCCAGTTTGGCCACCTCTCCTCCAAACACCTTCAAGCCACACTTTGAAGGTGATGTGCCTTCCCAAAGTCATCCCTTCTCACCCTAAAATAAACCCCAAACACAAGCTTCCTCCACAACACATTAGCACCTCTCCAAGGAGAGAAACCAGACCATTTCCCTCATTTCCTGGCCCGACTCCCACCCCCTTACACAGACCAGGAGTGCCAGCTCCTCTGCTGACCCTGCCCACAAGGCACAGGAGCCACCCGCCCTGCCCGTCCCCCTGGCACAGCACAGCACCCTGGCTCTGCCCTGCAGGAAATGCAGCACTCAGCTCAGCAGTCAGCCACAGGTTCAGAGCTGCAATTACTTGGGGACAGTTATTTATTAGTCCCTGTCCAGCTGCCAGGTTTACAGTCACGGACGCTTGACGCGGTGTCAAGCGGAAAACACCCGAGCACTGATGTCTGTAAATAAGCTATTGGGACATCTGGATGACATGTAGATCCAGCTATAATTAGGTACAGGTGACACGGAGAGGTCCTGTTAAGCCTTGCCAAAACCTGCCCCCAGGGCCTGCAAGCACAACTCCAGCAGATGTGCTGGATGAACCTCCAAAAACGTCTCAAAGTCACCTCAGAATCAAGTGTTAATAAACTCTGGAGAAGGGAACAAACAGAAAAGCTGTTAAGCTGAGCTTGTTCACAGCTAAAGAGCATCTGGGTCAGGAATTTCCCTCACCCATGTTCTTGCAGCATCACTGAAGTTGCAGCTTGGCAGCAAGACCTGGGAGAGACACTCCTCCACTCCCCTCTGCCACAGGGAGCCTAACAAATATCTATTTTCTCTGACCTTTTTGGTGCTATTGCTGTTGCTCTGAGGTTTTATAATCCAGAGAGTCACCATGGGGAGGTTTCCCACGTAAATCTCTCTGGGAAAGAGCCAAGCCCCTGGATAAGCCCAGATGTCAGCAAGGCTGTTCCATGTGAACATCTGCAAACCTGCTGTGGCTGCAGGGATGGGAGCTCCTGGCCCCTCCAGCTCCACTCCTGGAAGAGGGGCTGTGCCACAGGAGACTGGCAGCACCACCCCCACCAAGCAGCAGCTGCACAAGGAAGAAAAGAAAACCCAGCAGAAGTTTAGAAACACTCAGTCACACTACAGGAGGTGAGGAGCAGATCACAGCAGCTGGCTGAGAACTTTTATGGGGTCAGAGTTGAGATCTCCAAGGTGGGATGTGGCCAGGCTGTGTCTGTAACAGGACCACACAAACACCCAGCCCCTTGAGTTTGCATCTCCTCTGGCAGCCTGGGGGCAACTGCACAGAACAGACACCTCCTGTGCCAGCACCAGGCTCTTCAGAGACCTCAGCTCTGCACAGCAGCTTCTCACACCTTCACTGCCACCAAGGCCTGAAGGACACACATTCTTGAGGGTCCACAGTGCAAGAAACAGTCCTAGTCAAGAAAAAAAGAGTTTCACTGCTGGCAAGTGCATGAGAAATGCCCCTGTCCCTGCCCTCACCCACCCTGCCAGGTGAGCAGGGGAGGCTGGGCACGGGCTGTCATCTTCTGAGCCAGAGCCATGTGTTGACGAGGCAAGCAGAGATCATCACAGAGTACACCAGGGCCTCCTTCTGCCTCCAGGCGTGGCACTGCTCCTCCAGCACACGCAGCCTCCCCGAGATCCTGGCCAGCTGCAAGGGAAGCACAGGGGCACTGTCACACCCAGGGGCATGGGGCAGCAGGGGATGCACAGATGGAGCTGCTGCTCCTTCAGCTCCTCCTTCTCTAGAGGTCTCTAAAGGTCCTCCTCTTTGTGTGGGAGTGGCAGCAGCACCTCGGGTCTGCAGGAGATGCTTCAGGAAAGGATTGTTCCCATCAGAGAGCATCTGAGCCCCTCTCACTGCCACCAGAGGGGTCTGGCTGGGTCCTGCAGCCCCTCGGGTTTGGAACTCAATGGATTAACACACATCCAAGTCCTCTCCTGAAGGCAGGACCAGTCTGACAGCACCAGCCCACCAGGACTGAGCAACAGTCCCCCGCAGCCTCCTCACCCATCCCTGTGGCTTTCCCAGCAGCATCTGCAGCCCCATCTCACCTGCCTTCTCATTGCTGCCACCTCTGTCACCCCGGCCTCCTCCACGGGGCTCTCTGCAGCTGGGATAGGCTCCTGGCAGCTGGGGAGGAAAGCAGAGATGCAGGTGGACCAGAACTGCTCGTGGGGTGCAGCTGACCCCCAAAATGCAGCACTGGCACGAGGAGCTGAGCCATGCACGAGTGTGTGCCAGGCTGCGCTGCACCAGGAGGAAGCAAACAGCAGCTGCACAGCACCCACTGATCTCTCCTGAGCCCCCAGCATGCACCCAAAGGGGCCAGCCAGACAGACAGCACATGGCAAGACAGGTAACAGAAACACATGCTTGTATTTGTTTAGAGGTGCAACAGAGAGAAAACATTTCCACTAAGCATCCATCCTCTGTAGTCCCAGGAAGTCACTGAGGGCTGGACAAAACATCTTTAGGGGCAGCCAGGTAAAGAGGAGCCACAGGACAATGCTGAAGTGGAGGGGGGATCCCATTTACATCAGCAGGTGAGGAAGCTGCCATCAGGTGGAGGGAGCTATCACTTTTTGCTCTTGTAGCACATTTTACCTGCAATTTGAAACATAAACAGGCAACCCAAATGTTCAGCACCTTCTTCCCTCCCTGGAAACACTGGAATGAGCTGTGCAGAGGCAGCACAAACCACTGGTCTCTGGGGCAGTCCCTGGAGGCACAGCCTCACTGCAGGGTCCACACCACTGAGTCACAAATAAAGCAGATCCACAGTGAGAAAAATATGAATTCCTGTCATCATAGGCTAGCCCAGAGTCAGCTGTTCTATCACCAAAACTCCCCTGTGCACACCAGTAACTCACACAGGCACTCACTGATCTCCGAGGGGTTAAAAACACCTAACCCCACTCCTTGGAGCCCTGGGGGAGAGGGTGTTTATCCCTGTCTGCAACATGATGCAGATCTCACTGAAGACAAGCCAGAAGAGCCTGTGGAGATTCACTGAATCCCTGTCTGAAACTCCATTTGTGAGATAATACCTGCACAAAATGTAGCTGCAGTGTAAAATGACAGTCACAACAGAAAGAAAATGCAATTTTCCCCAGTAGAGAACCATGAAAAAAGGACACATCCTGCAGCTTTTCACTCAAAATCCCAGCTGATACAGGTAGACACCCTTTAAAGTAGACTAGAAATTGCCTTCTGGTGACTCATACCCTTCAAGAGGTCACTGTCAGATATTCGAGGCTCTGAGACCAGACTTTGCTAAAATTTCAGGACAAACAAGTCAGCACAGTCTTCTGGTTTTTTTTATTGTTGCACAGGGGTACAAAGCTGTCATATTGAAGGGATGTCTGCTTCTGAAGGGATGTAAAGAACTAAGAAGAGGTGTTTGAGGGTGGCTGGTTTCAAAAGGAGATCAAGGCCTGGGGAGGAGCCCCAGAGTGACCCCACAGCATTACAGCAGCTCTGCAGGCTACCATGGCCTGCATGTCCTCCACTGCTGGAGGGAGGAGGGAGAAGGTCTTTGTAGCCACTAACCAGATCTCTTGGTCATTAAGAAATGAAAATGATATCTGAAGGCAGCCTCAGCCTCCAGTTTTTAAGAGCAGAGACATCACTTTGGATCCCCAGCAAGCAGCAGCCAGCTGGGGAGGGAAGGCAGGATGTGCCCTGATGATGGATGTGATGGTGGATGCTGGTTCTCCTCCCTTTCTGCCTGGAGGCTTTGCTCAAGGAGAATGAGCAGTATTTAGATGTTCCTCCAGGTGCTCAGCAGCCTTGGAGCAGTGGGGACACCTTAAGGCTGCACGGATGTTTTTGAGCAAAGAGAATTTACCGCACTGGCACAGATGAGGGTGGTGGAGATGGTTCCTCCAGCACATCTGGAGGGACTGAGGCCACTGCACACCTGCTCCAGGGAGCACAAAGGGACACCCAGCCTGGCCAGGGGCCCTGGCTGTGGGAGGAGAGCAGCCAGCTCATGGAAAGAGCTCATTAAGAGTGACCAAGGCACAGCCACGGGTGCTGGGAGCCTGCAGGAGAGGCTGTCTCAGGGACAGCACCGGGGCCAGGCCGCCTGCTCTGGATTGTCATTCCCTTCACACACCCCCTCCAACAAGCTACGAAAGCACAGAAAAATTACTCCTTGCTCAGCAGCAACCCCCCAGCAATGCCACAGCAGCACAGGGTCACTCAGGGTGCCCAGGGTGTTAGGCTGAGCAGCCTGGCTGGGTTAGTGAGGTGCACCAAGGCCCTGCACCCAGAGCTGGCACACAGGTGAGAAAAGAAGTCCAAGGCAGCCGTGCAGGACCATCCTGCAGCCCAGAGCTTACAGAGCTGGCACAGGCCAGTCCTTGCACAGTGGCAGAGGGCTGGCTCAGGACAAGTCACCTGGAGGGCGCCGGGTCCCGCAGAGAGTCCTGGACACAGCGGAAGAGCACCTGGCCCAGGAGGCACATGGTCTGGAAGATGTTCTGCATGGAGTAGATCCTGCCTGCCTCTGTGAGGAGGGGCAGTGGGGCACTGGGAGCAGGCAGGGGACAGGAGTCTGGCCTGGGTGCACACAGAATCATGCCTGTTACTCCCTGCCTTGCACGACAGGGCGCAGCCTGGCACCAGGCACTGCCCCTCATCGCTTCAGCAGCTCCAACATCTCTGGGCAGTGCCACTGGCACCCACACCCTGATGGCATCAGCTGGGAGAACCCTCTCCAGAGCCCCCAGGCTCAGAGCAGCACCTGATTCCTCCAAAGCCAAGCACAGCTGTGTGCCACACTGCCCTCCTGCCAGCCAGAGCAGCTCAGGACTTCAAGAGGGACACCAGTCCCTGCTCCAGGACTAGCTCAGAGACAATTGCCCCACTGCAGAGACTCTGGAGCCCAAGGCCACGAGCAGAGACCTGGGGAACAGCACAGCTGCCTTCAAAGCTGCCCAGCACAAACATCTCTGGCAGCAAAGGCCACGTTCCCCTCATGATGAGCAGGACTTTGCTCTGATGTGGATCCCCCATGGCCCTCCCAGGACACCCACACCAGAGAGCTCCAAAACAGCCCAGTGAGAGGAGATGCTGCTCCCCACCCGCCCTGGGTGACTCTGGGCCCGTGCTCACCCCTCGTGGTGCTGTCCTGGGCTGTGCAAGGCCAGCTGGGCACTGTCACTCGGCGTCCTGTCCCTCCGTGCCCTGCTGCTGTGATGGCCCTGTGGGAATGGGACACAACCACGTCAGCACAGGGCTGAGCCCAGCCTGGAGCCCTGCGTGGGCTGCAGGGCCAGGGGCCCATCAGCACGGGGAGAGCACTCAGTGGGAGCCCCAGAGGAGCCCCAGCCTGGTGCTGCTGCAGGGGGGAGACACAGGGTCCCCAGCACCAGCCTGCTGAGCTGAGCTCTAGCCAGATCAAAAACCCTGATCCTAACCCTCCCAGGATCAGCTCTCGATTGCAGGGAGGTTGAAGCACTTGAGGGGGAGGAACAGCAGCTCCAGGAGCCAAATCAAGTCTTTGCCTGCCCATGCCTGGGACCTGTCTTTGAAAGAGTCTCACACAAGGCTAAAATCTGCTTTTGGCTCTGACCCCAGAACCCTTTACACTGCTGTAATGAACCAGCTCTGCCACATACTTCATCAAGAAAGAAAACAGGACTGAAAAAGTAGCAGCAGCAGCCAGTGCTGGGACTGCAGCTACCTCAGCCTACCCCAGGCCCACAAAATGCAGCAGGAGATGAGGCTGGATCAAGGTCCCAGCACACAGGTGTGCACTGGCTCTGGGTCAGAAAGAGATCCCACCATCCCTACCCCCTCACTCCTAGGGCCTCCTGGGAGATGAATCCTGGCTTGGGGTGGTAACAGCTATCTGGAGAACCCCGAATTTGGGATTACTCCCATTCCCCACCCCAGCAGCCCGTCCCTGCCCGCACGGTACCGATCGCTTGCGGCGCTGGGCGCTGGCTCTGCTGGCTGGGGGCAGGACAGGGAGGTCCCCAGAGGGGGCTGGGGACACGTGCACCACAATAGAGGGGACCTTCCTTGGCTGGGTCAGCAGGACTGGCCTCAAACCGGTGTCTGATGTCTCTACAGGAAGGAGAGAGAGAAGAATTAAGCCAACCTGAATGGCCTCAGGAAAGAGAAGACGCACCCACGTGGAGACAAGCCTGTGTTTAGTGCCAGATGAACACTATGCCCTGGGTTTTTGGGCAGCCCAGAGAGGCAGAGGCACTGCTTCAGGACAGCAAGGTTTCAGAGCTGTTTGTCAAGGACAGGTCCAAACGTCCTGCATCCCAAAGCAGGGACCCTAGCAAAGGCCAAGAGGGAACTGCAAGAGACATGGAGGGAAATGTCTTTACATTTTGCTCCCTACCTGTTGGACTTAAGGCCCCTCCAGACTTCTACTGGTGACCTTTGCCCACCTCTTCCCGAGCCATCCACCTTCCTGCCCTACGCTGCTGAAGAAAACTGCCTGCATTATCTGCCCCCACCCTCTCCTCCAGCAAAGCAAAGCAAAGGTGGGGTTTATAAAGGGGTTCTACTCCCTAGGATGTTGTGCCCCACCCCAAAAGACAACCCAGGGCTTTACCTGCCAGAGAAATCCTATCAGGGATGTGCATCCGAAAGGACGCAGGGACATCCTCTGTCCCTGTCCCCGTGTCCCCAGGGCTGCAGCTCTCTGCCACCTTCAGCCTGTTGGGGACCTGCATCCTCTGGTTGATGGCCTCTGTGAAGAGCAGGTCACAGCGCACGCGGTTCAGGTCCAGCCCCCAAAGCGGCCACATCTGGGGTGAAGAAGGAGGGATTACAAGGGACTTCACCCCTGGAAAGGGACAGCTGGACTAATTCCCAAAGAACAGCCTTGCCCTGCATGGTCCCAGCTGCGACTAATAAAGGTAAGGGTGATAAAAGGGGTGGGTTGGGCAGTCAGGGAGAGCCTGGAGGAACAGGATCTTGAGGAGATCTGAGGAAGAAGGCATGACCCAGAGAGACACAAAGAAGAATGAAAGAAGGAAGAGAGCTGCTGCTGCTGCTGCTCTGCTGTGAGGTCAGTCTGGGTCTCATAAAATTAGAGCCTGCAGTCACAGCCCAAGCCTGTGGTCAGAGGCAGCAAGGAAACACTTGCAGTCGTGCTCCAGCAGTCAGCCTGTTGGAGAAGCCAAAAGCAGGAGTTTGCTGCAGTGAGTCAGGATGGCTAAGCTGTAAAGAAGAATAAACAGGACCCTTTACATGTTGTTAAATGAGCGTCTGTGCCTTGGCTCATTTATACCCCTAATGAGAGGTGTGCTGCAACACACATCTTTGCACGTGTCCTCAGGTGTCCTGGGGTTTCACACAGAGGGAAAGAAAGCTGCAAAGTGGCAATAGGGACAGCTCTCCTTGCACCTGCACAGGGACAACACAACAGGCTGTAAGACAGCTAAAATACAGGCAGAAACAAGGCAAAAGACAGGCTCTGCAGGAGTCTGGGACAAGGGGATGCCCTGCAGTGCCCAGCTGGCAGGGACAAGGCTGCAGCTCTCCTGGGAGCCAGGTATGAGCTTAGCACCCACTGCCTCAGCTGACAGCAAGGAAAGGGCTCAGCACACAGTTCAGTGCTAGTGAAAAAATTATCCTTCCATCCAGAAAATAATTTTGAGGGCTGAAATCACATTTTTGTGTTCATACACACCTTTGAGGGAAAATGAAGTTTTCTAAAAGCAAAACACACCTTTTTTGGGGAGTGGGCTCCCAGGTTACCACAGGAAAGGCTTTGGTGCTCAGTTTTTCTCCACACACAATCACTGCAGTATCCCCAGGGCCATTCCCCCCCTGATCCAGCACTCCTTGGGTAACCCACATCCAGCAAGAATGGACTTTGTCCTGAGCAGAGCTGCCAGATGCTGAACCACCCTCCCAGAGGGGAAGGAAAACCACACATCCCCTTCCTCAGCTTGGAGCAGAGCCCCCAACTCTGCTTTCCTCCAGGTGGGACCAAGGAGGGACACAGCCCCCAGTTCTCCCTGCTCCTGGGAGCAGCTGACAGCAGGACCAGGACATGGGGTGTTGGATTATAATTTTTTTTTAACTTGGAGATGGGGAAACTGAGAGGTGTTTTAAAAGCTTTTATTCTGTTTTTAGCCTTATGTGAAGGGTGAGACAATACAGTAGATTGTAAACAAGAAATAGTTAACTTCTGATTATAATAGTGTATATTATAACATCTTAAATTTTGCTTGTATGATGGGTAAATCTTTTTTATCTGTTTTCTCTTGATGGTTTTTTAACACTAGCTGTTATCACAGTGAGCTTTAAGAATTTTCTATAAATCCACTTCCCACAATGGGACATGGACACCTCCTGGGGCTTTGTAGCTCTCAGCATGCACAGTGTCCCTGTGCCTCAGTTTCCCTTTTGACAAGTCCCAGGGTTTTGAGAAGTACTCTGGGGCCACAGTGTCCCAAGACTTTCACTGAGCCACACAAGCAGAGGGCAATTAATGTACACTTTTGGGAGAGGAGCCCCAAAAGTCACCTTCCTGGCTCCCAGCATATGCACTCTTTATTCTTTCCCAAAAATCTGCAGCTGAGGAGAAAATCCCAACAAGCAAGAGGTGCTGAGGCTGGAAGACCCCAGCCTAATCCCAGTGCTGCCCAGGCACTCCAGACATGCGTGCACAGCATCCTGCACCCTCCTTGCTGGCACCTTTTGATCTCTCAGTGCCCAAAAAGGTCCTTATTTTCTTCTAGAAAAAAATATCCATTCTAGGAGGGGCCAGCAGTAGCCAGGGCTGCCCACCACATCCCTCACTGCTGCTCCTCAGAGCACTTTGGACCCCCTCACCTTCCCCAGCCCCCTGCAATCCTTTAGGATTTCACCCAGGGCAGAGGAGCAGCAGGAAATCCCTGGGGAAGGATCATGGGACCTGTCCCCTGCAGCTGCCAGGCCTGACACTGGGTACAGGAGGGTGGCAGAACCAGCTCTGCACCTGCCTCAACCAGCACTTCCAGTGAGCACTCACCTCGTGCTGCTCCCTCCTCCTCTGCCATTAAAAACCTTTTAATTACTCAGGGATTAGCCCAGCACCAGCAGTGGTGATTCCCTGCCTGCAGCCTTGCAGACACTGCATCCCTGTCCACGTTGGGTCTGTCCTGGAGGCACTGTGGGGCCCCACACCATCCCCAGCACCCTCGCCAGCCCCAGCCCATGGGTCTCATCACACACACCCTCCCAAACCCCAAAGAAACTTTTTTTGTTTCTCCCAAAACCCCAAAGAAACTGGATTTTTGCAGGCACCCCCTTCTCAGAAACAGGACAGTAATTCCTGGGATGGTCCCAAAACGTGTCAGTCCCCCAGGAGAAACCTGCCTCAGAGCCCCAGCCAGGGTACACAGCCATGGAGAGCACCAGGTTTCCCTTCACATCTGTGGTGCTTCAGAGGAGCCAGCAGCCTGTGCTGCGTTCCCAGGCTGCTCTCTGGGAAACCAGCTTATATTAATAACAGTAAATCTGCAGAGGGCAGATCTGTTCATTCTCTAATCACCTGTGAAACCACTGCAGCTCCCAAGGAACAGAGGGATGGGAGGGAGTGAGAAGCAGGCTCTGAGACTAAGCTATTAAGAAAGGGAGAAAAAAAAATCAGCTGTCAAAACTCATAAGAACAAAATGCTTAAGTGGCTGGATTTCCTCCTTTAACTTTCTTTAGGGCTTTTTCGAGCTCCTGCCAAGCACCCCCCGCTCGCCTGGAGAGGCTCAGCCTCTGCTTTGGCACTTCTCCTTGGATTTGCAGCGACAGGGAATTTCCGCCTCACTAAACCAGAGCAGCTTTAAGTCCTGCGAGCCAGGAAAACCTGCCCTGGGGAGGGAAACTCCACAACCTCCCTCCCTGCGTCCCCCTCCAGCCCGGGACACCCCGAACGAGGCAGGCGGGGTCCAGCACACCCCGTTCGGGGTGGGGAGATGGAGGGGGGCGGTGGGCTTCTGCCAGCTCTGCCCTGCGGCTCGGGGACACCCCTTGTCCCGGCAGGGTCCGGTGACACCCCGTGTCCCGGCAGAGAGGGACACGGGCACGGCAGGATCCTCACCGGGCTCGGGGTGAGCCCGGCGCGGCTGCGGGGACACACGGCAGGGGACGGGGAAGGCACAGGGGGGTCCCACGCCCTCCCGGCCCTGGGGACATCCCGGCCCTGCCCCGGGGACGCTGCAGCGGCTCGCAGAGCCCCGGCCCGGCCGTGCGAGCGGACAAGGGACAGCGTGGGCCGGGGAGGGACACTTACTGTGCACCGCAGAGCCACGCAACGTGCCGGACCTGTAAACAGCCGGGACGGGGCGGTGCCGGCAGGGGCCCCGGCCCCCGGCACTGAGCCCGGCCCCGGTAATGAGCACTGCCCCGGTGCCGGTCTCTCGTCCCTTAAAGCCGCAGCCGGTGATTATTAACGCCTTGCGTCTCATCCTGGTGTCACCTCCCCCGCCATCCCTCGTGTCCCCAGCCGTGCTGGCACACCAGGATTGCTGTCGCCAGGGGCAAAGCGGAGCCAGGACCCTCCCCGTGTCCCCAGCCCCGGGGCCGCCCCGTGCCGGAGCTGATCTCTGCCCCTCGCCGAGATAAAGGATCCCTCTGGCATTAACGGCAGTTTTAAACACTCCTGGATGGGGACAGGGTCCGAGACCTGACCGTAAAATCTGGGTTTGAAAGGACTTAAAATAAATCCCCCGCTGCCCTAGTCTTGCTATTTAAAGGGGATTATCTAAGGGGTTTAGGAGCGCACAGAGGAGGGCAGGACAACCTGTGCACCTCAATCCCCGCCAAGATCCTCAGAAAACCTTTCTGCACCTCACCTGCCGGCAGCTCGGGGCTCGCAGGACACCCTTGAGGTTCCTCAGAGGGTGCACCACATGGCCAGGTGAAGCTCAGGGCTCCAGCTGGATTTATGGGGTTCACTCCCAGACGCTCCCATCCTCACTGGGGACAGTCCAGCAGCCGTGGAGGGGGTTATTGGTGTCACTACCCCACAACACAACACCCTTTGTGGGAAAAAGCCACCCGGTGCCACTCAGACAGTGAGGGTTTTTTAATAAATACCTTTTTTTTTTGCACAGAAATATACCAAGTTTTACAGAATACAAACTGCAGGGATAATGACCGAGCATCAAAGACAGAGGATGCAGAGCACCCTTGTGTCTCCCTCCGGTGTTCTCTAGCTCTGGCCCTGAGCTCTCTGTCAGCTCTCCCCAAAACCCCGACCTGCTGAGGCTGGGGAGGGGACAGCCGAGGTGCCAGCATGTCCTGCCCCAGGAGCAGCCACGCTGGGCAAGCCTCAGCTCTGGGCTGAGGGCACCAGCTGCGAGGGCATGGCTGGGGCCGGGCGGGATGCAGGCCACGGGTGGATGGACAATAGCCTTTTGGTGCTGGTGGAGAGGCTGGTGCTGGGAGAGCACCGGGTGGTGGCAGTGCTGGGAGCTTCTGGGGGGTTGGAGCACAACCCTTGTGTTAATCCATCAGACACGGCTGGGGAAGGACAGCCCTGGTGCCTGGACCCTACAGGCAGCTGCCCAGGGAAAGGGGACACTGATCCCACAGCAGAGCACCTGGCTCTGCCCTGCCCTGGCAACACACCCACCTGAGCAGGCTTGGCACTGCTCCTGACTGCCAAGGCATGGCCTTGTGGCTCCTGCCCCTGCCAGCAGGACTTGCAGGGCACAGCCCTGGACCCCAAACACTCAGCCCACCCAAGAGGTCACCCCGAGTGGGGTCCTGCATTCCACTGTACCTGCTCTGGAGGACAGAGCCCCAAAGAGAGGAGCCAGGCAGGGCAGAGGGGTTTGGGGTAGGGAGAGGGGAGGTTTGGCCTGTCTGCAGGCTCTCTCCTCTGGGGCAGACACCAGGTAGGCCACGCTCCAGGAGAGAGGTGAATCCCCATCACTTAAAGCCATGAGACCACAGTTACCTGGGGTCAGAAAGGACCCCCTTGGCCAGCTCTGCAGCACCAGACCTCCAGCTGCTCAGCACCCACAGGGGAGAGCAGAGAGCATCAGGAGAAGGTCCTGCTACTCCAAACTCACTTACCTCAAGTACAAAACCACCACGAGCCCTTTCTCCTTTTCCAAAGAGATCTAGGAGATCAGAGAGCACCTTCTAGCTGCTCCTCCCTGATCACACAGCAAATATCCCTACAGGCACCACAGTGTGGACCGGGCTCCCCACTCCCACTTGGCAACAAATCCACACGGGGGAAGCACCATGTCCCCACAGAGCTGGCCCCACCAACTGCAGGGATGGACAAAAATTTGCCACACCAATCCTGCATCTCCATCACCTAATCAGAGCCCTGAGCAGTAGAACAGGGCCCAGAACATGGGGTGAGGCCGAGCAGCAGCCCAGGGAGGCAGCAAGCTGCTCTAATCATGGGAAATGTTATGTCTGTTTGAGGGGGAAGTGAGGAAATCAAATGCACCATGGGGAGACCCCCAGGCTGAGCCAGGAACAAGCTGCTGCTCTGCTCTGGCTGCTACAGCACTTACGTGAGTGGGGAGTGAGGGGCAGGAGATGGCTGGCTGGCTCCAGAGCCATCCCACAGCCCTGCCTCACCCCACCTGGGGACAGCTATTTTTGGTTAGGAGGGTAAGGCTATTGTGTGATGGCACCAGATTGTACAGGTGAAATGGAGCCTGACGAACACCAGAAGGGAGTCCCAGGCATGGCGAGGGGAGGGTGGCTGGGTGAGTGTGGGAGTGTGCAGAGGCAGGAGGGAGGCACACCCGCTATTTGCCCGCGGCAGGGGCCGTGGCCACGATCTCTTCGTACTTGGGCGGAGGCTCGTTGTAGGAGACGCTGGTCTCCTCGCCGCTGCTGCTGCTCTCGGGGTGCCCCGTCACCTCCTCGTAGGACGGCGGGGGAGTGGCACTGGACAGTCTGGAGAGGACGGAGACAGAATGCTCTGGCGGGCACAGGGTGCCGTCTGGCTGGGGGGTGCCCGCGGCTCTGGCGTCCCCAGCCCCCCGGCTGCTGCCCTCCCGCTGGCACTGGGTCTCCCCCTGGCTCTGCGAGCGCTCGCGGTACACCATGACCCTGGGCAGGCTGCGGCCCGTCCGGCTGGCCAGGTAACGGTTCTGGGCGTAGGAGGGGCGGTGGCGGGTGGCCTTCTGCAGCTGGCACCTCCAGATGATGAAGAGGGCGATGACTATGAGAAGAGCCACTCCCAAGAGGGGCACCACCACGTACATGGCGTCGGAGCGCTCCGTGCTGTGCCCGGGGTCCTTGACAGAGTACACAGAGCTGGTGTAGCCCTTCCAGAACTCCATCTGTGACAGGAACAGAGAAACAACCATCACGTGCTGCAGGTGGGAGAAGGACCCAACCACCACCAGCAATAACCACTGCCCTCCCCAGGCCCACAAAAGGGGCAGTATTTTGGATGTTCCTCACCCTTTCAACCAGGGGTGCTGTTGGACCAACACAGAAGGTCCTGGGAACATCCCCCAATATCCCACAGCGAGCAGGGAAAAATTTATTCCACACCAAGCCCAGCCTAGAGAATCATGGACAACAGCACAGATTTGCCACACCTGCCATGGGAGCACCAGCTCAACCTGCAGCTATGGGCAGGGAGTCCTGGCAAAAGCAAGGTGAGGCCATTGCCTGGGAAGGGGAAGCCACGCTGGGAAGTGAGGCCACAACATGCTGCTGCAGCCAGAGGAGCACAAACAGAACAGGAGAGGCTGTTCCCCTTGTGCTTTCCCTCTGTGTCCAGCCTGCTGAGGTGTGAGCCCTCCCACACGCCCTGGGGAGCAGAGCAGGACACACGCACCGTCTTCTCCTTGTTCTCAAACACCTCCTTGACCTCCTCATAGCTGCAGACCTCCTCGATGCACTCCCGCTCGATGGTGCCCTGCCGGATCTCCTCCAGGAAGCCATTGGCTCTGGGAAAGCGTTTCAGGAGCGAGTGGGCATTCCTGGCCCCCAAGAACACTGCAACACACAAGGCAGAGACATTCTGAGCAGGGACAGCTCAGAATAGCTGCCCTCTGCCCAGCCAAGCTTTCCAACCCAGCTTCCTGACACCACATGCATCCCCAACACCAAAAACCCAGGGCTACAATCAGATAGGACAGCAACTAGGACAGCCAACAGGACTGTTCCTGACACCACATGCATCCCCAACACCAAAAACCCAGGGCTACAATCAGATAGAACAGCAACTAGGACAGCCAAAGGGGCACAGGACTCTTGGGTCTGCAGCACCCAGAGCCCTCCTGTCAGGGCTGAGGTGCTAGAAACATCAGAAGCAGCAGCTGCAGGCACACAGAGCAACTGAGGAAGAGACAAAAGGTTCCAAAAATATTTCTTTCCAACCTTCTGCTCCTGATGGATTTCATCTTTCTGCCCCTTTGCTGCAGGACAAGGGAGAACCCACCAGGAGAGCAAGACCCCACAGGGCTGGGACACAGAGCTGTGCCAGGACACGGGGCCAGCACCGAGAGGGACTCACGAGCCCAGAGTTCAACACAAGAGCCTGCTGGAAGCTGGTGTCCCTGCTGCCAGCTGCTCAGGGGTCATGCAAGCTCAGGTGGCATCAAGGACTCTGTCCAGGCCCCAGAGAAACCACTGTCTTCTCCCAAGCCCAGGAGAACAAGTGCAAACATCCCCAAAACACAGGGACAGCACAGGGGGATATGAGTCGGGGGCCTGAGCAACCTCTCCTCACACAGCAGCACACTCTCATCCCCACTGTGCTTTGATGCCAAGGCCTCACAAACTTCCCTCTGTTCCCAAAGCCTGGGAGACTCCTCAAGTCTTCCCACAGCACATGCAGTCCTGAAGCCAGGCAAAGCAGGAACAGCACCTTCCTGCCTGCACGAGAGACATCAAAGCCTCTCTCCATATCCTGCAGGAGGGACACCTCCATGGGTGCAGGAGGGAAGGACCTCCCAGGACCTGCAGCAGCACAGGAGGCAAAGAAGTTCAGAGAGCAGAAACTTCACACAAAACATGATCCTTCCAGGATCCAAACACACATTTCATGAATGAGTGTTTCCACAATGCAGTTCAACAGACCCAGCTGTAGGCTGCTTCCAGCTCTTCCCACCAAGCCACAAAATGCTGCTGCTTCCCTTGGGAAGATGAATCAGTTCAGCTGGGTGATCCACAGGAACCTATTTGCCTCCTTCACCCTCAGGCTCAGTCTTCCACTGGATCATCAAGGTGAACCCATTCACACAGCAGCAGCATCAAAGGAGGCAGGGGGACAGAATCTCCCATGTGACCAGCTTGGTGCTAAAAAAATACTGGCTCCACAAGCAAAACAGTCAGTGAAAAGCCACCAACTTCTCTCCTTAGGAGCCTTTTGCCAGGGAGAAAGGCAAGTTTCCTTCTGCTTTACCTTCCATGTATCCTGCTGCTGAAACAATACAGCAAGGTATTTGTGAGAGTGCATCAACAGGGACAAGATTGTGATGTAAGAAACAACTACTACTGTGCTACACCAGCCTGGGCTTGGTGAGCTGCTGAGCTGCTTTTGTGCTGTGTAGGTGCATTTTCCCCTCGTGATTTATTAATGCCTTCCTTCTGTGAGAGTTTGCAGAGGGCTGAACCATCGAGGTGTGAATGAAGAGCAGCATGAATGATGTGAGTCACAGATCTTCCCTCAGAATCGACTTTATTATGCAAACATTATTTTTTTTTACATGGACAACCGAAAAAGCATTTTCAAGAGGCACAGAAGGCATGTTGCAGAAGGGCAGGGATCAGCTTGCCTTGGCTTTCACAGCTGGGAAGGGCTATCCTGGCTGGAGAGGGAACAGGCTGGCAGGCTGACTTTGTCTTGAGCCTTTCCAGAAGGAGATGAAATTTTACAAAGACAACATTCATTCTGCAAATGTCCCACTTCTGGAGAAGTCTGGCCTCACCTCCTTTGCCTCCCACCTTGATGAGGCCGTGGTACAAACTCTCCCCTCCTTGGCACTTGAGCCTGAGACTCGGATTTCAACTTCCTCAGCTTGGCTGCAGATCTCACTGTCAGGGTTTTCCATCCCTGCAGAAAGCAGTCACTGGACCCCTTCCCTGCTTTGCCATGCTGAGCTGCCCGCTGCAGATCTCACTGTCAGGGTTTTCCATCCCTGCAGAAAGCAGTCACTGGACCTGCTTTGCCATGCTGAGCTGCCCACTAAGGTAGGAAATAAAAACAGACACACAGGCAGGCAGGTATCAAAAGCACTGTCCCAACTGCAAGCATGCTGTGACAGAGGTGTGTGTTTTTCCCCACATACAATTTCCCTCAGGGACATAGAAATGGCAGGAGGGAAGAAACTGAGTCACTGCTCCCTCCCCTTGAAAGTGCAAAGTGGCTCAGGACCAGAGCAGGAAAACCACTGGCCCTCAGGAAAGGAGCCTCTCATCCCTACTGGATCCCCAGCTGACATGAGGAGCAGACAGCCAAGCAGGTCCTGTTCCCAAACCACGGGGCTGAGGGGACCTGCCAATGCCCAGCAGCCTCAGTGCTCATCCCCTGTGCCTCTCCAAGCCTCCCCACACCAGCTGGAGAACCGGTGCTCAGGAAAGATCAGAGCTTTTAGGCAGGGGAAGCAGGAGCAAGGGCTGGGCTCACCTCAGCCCTGCTGGGTTTCCTGGGGTGCTGCTGGCCCCTGGTGGACACCACCCCATGTCTCAGCTGCCCTGCTTTGGGGGGACACCCTGGGGCTGCTGCTCTGGGGAAGGACTGTGGCTGTGCCTGCAGAGGGACAGCCAGGGATAGCAGGGAGCATGTGGTAGAGAACCTGCCCATCACATCCCCCCTGCACATCAGGGTCACCATGAAGGAGACACTGCCACCACAGGGGACACCTTGCACCACCTGGACATGCTGGTGAGCCAGCACCTGAGCTCTGGGAAGGAGAAAAGGCAGCAGTGGAGAAAGGCAGGGACCCAGCTGGGCACCCTCCTCATTAACTGAAGATTAAAGCAGCCTTTTAAAAACACTGCCTGAAAATCTCTGCTCCCTCCCGCACCAGCACAGCACAGATAATGAAAGAAGGCATACCTGTCATCCCTGGGGTCCTCCTCCTCCCCAGCATGGCTACTGCCTCCACCTTCACAGCAGGCTCTGGTGACACTCCGAGCAGATCCCGAGATCCCAGACAGATCTCCCCATCTCCCATTCACTGCTGCCATCCTCCTGATGCTCCTATCACACGCAGCCTCCATGCAGGCTGCCCAGGAGAGCGAGGAGGGAGGTTTGAGCCCAGCTCTGGACAGACCACACACCCCTCTGCAGCCTCACCAGGCTCAGCCCATCTTCAGTGCTGGCACAGCACTGCTCTGGGTGTGCCACAGCGAGCTCAGGGTGGGGCTGAGCTCGGCAGCTTCCACAGAACACAGAGCCCCAGTGGCACTGCCACACAGGGCAGCGTGGCCCCCAGGGTGGGCACTGGCAGGGTGCCTGCCATGGGCATGAGCAGCACTGCTGATGAGAGATGTCAGCACAGACAGGCAGCCCAGAGAGCCCTGGGGAGGCCCGTCCTGCACAGCAGGCACCACACAGAGACAGAAATGCTGCAGCTCCGGGTAGTCCCGGAGAGGTCAGACCTTCAGCACCTCCTCTCGACTCCCACCTTGCAGAGGGGAGAGAAGCACAAGTCAGGCCGGACCTCAGACCTCACCCAGGGCCAACAGCTGATGGCAGCTGCTCCCCAGAGAGAATAACACCCCCCAAAATGCACAGGCACCCCTTTCTTGAGAGGTGGCTGTCAAACATCCCCCTTCTCTCCTCCGACACCACGGCACCTCTCCGCCTTGCCCGGGAGCACTTACTTGCCATGCTGCCTCACTCGGCCAAGGGGGGCTCCTGCCTACCTGCAGGGAAGAAAACAGGACAGTCACTGACAGCTTAAATCTCCAGCCCAGTCTCAAAGCCCAAGCCTCCACCACGCAGGACCAGATTCATGCAGAAAGCACGGTGCTGAGCAGTGGAGCCATGACAGAGCCCAGCCCCGCGGTGCCCCTGCAGAGAGCCCAGGATTCCAGCTGCCTCCCTGCTCCTCAGCTGCTGGAGGGGCTCGGGGCACCCTCAGCTCCCAGAGTGCTGGGGCAGGGCCCAGGGAGAAGCAGGGCCCTTGCAGACCAGAGAAGAAGGAAGGGAGAAACTGGATGAAGGATAGACCCCATTTCTCACCAGCAGACGAGATGACCTGCATGTCAGACTGCTGGGAGCAGCCTGGTGCTCTTCCCTCCCACAAGAGATTGATAGATACAGGTGAAGCAATCATCTTATTTTAGAGCAACTTCACAGACGTGCCAGTTCTCACTTCTGCAACTCCTACCCACAATCTGGTTGTTGGGCCAAGCTAAGGGCAGCAGCAAGAGTGTCGAGCTCCCTGCACACCCAGGACAACAGCTGTCCAGCTGGACAAGCACCTTTTGTGCTTCAAAAGCAAAACTGCACTAAACAAAACCCCACAGAAGTTAAACAAAGCCCTGCAGAGGATATCTGCTTGTTTTCCATGCTTTGTCTTCTCCCTGTGCTCAATGCCCCAGGGATCAGAGTGCTGCCCTGGACCGACTATTGCTGTGTGTGACACTTCTGTGGCAAAGCCACAACTCTGTCACGAGACAGAGGGGACAGGACTGCCCAGCTCCTGCAGGGATTTATTGCAGATGAAGGAGCAAGCATGGTTAGAAACAGCAGGAACTAAACCACACGCTGCTCTCAGGCCCAGGACTTTAGATATCCAGTTATTCCAAAAGCACTTGGACCTGCTCTGCTGGAGTGAGGTGAGGGACAGCACAGAGCTGTTCACAGGGTCAGCAGGGCTGGAAACACACTTCCCCTTTCACAGGAAAGGCAGGCACACAGAAGGGCTGATGCTGCACACCAGCACACCTCACAAGAGCCTCCTTCCAGTGAACGGAGCACCTCTCCCTGCCAACATCAGGGAAAGCGTGCTGTGCTTTCCAAGGCTCCTACACCCTAAAGTGCCAAGAGGGCGTGCAAGCCTGGAGCTGCATCCAGGGAGAGAAAGCAGCTTCTTCCCAACAGTTTGGGAAGCTCAGGTTGCAAACCTCAGTCTGGAGTTGAAGCAGGAGCGAGGGAAAGCAGCAGAGTACCAGAAGGGAGGGATCTGCTGCCTCCAGTGCCCCACAGCTCAATCCCACTTCTCTGAGCCCTTCTGGGGGATGTGAGAGGCCTCTGGATCCATGAATTCCCCCACGGGCTCTGAGCAGGGACCACCTGACCCAGTTCTGCTGTCATCAGTTTTTACAAAGAGACCCAAAGCCCCAGGATAAAAGAAAGCTTAGCACAGAGCACATGCCACAGCTTCCACACAAACCCGCCTTGTTACAGGCATCCTCCCCCTCTGACAGACAGGAGAACAAAGGCACAGAAAGAAGGATATTCTCACGTCACACATCAGGCAACAAATTTAATACTGTTTCATTTAATTTACACTCTTTCACTTTCTTCCATGTATCTGTGTCAGCGCACCCAGCACCACAATCTGGGAGCTGCACACAAGCCTCAAACACAAACAATGCCGGTGAGAAGGGCAGACGTCCCAGACGCTTATTTTTATTTCCACATGCAAATTCCTAGCCACCTCCCCTGGCTCCAGCGAGCAGGAAAAGCCGGAGCAGTGCACACGCTGACGCCAAGGGGAGCAGCATCTCTCCTGCCCCCACGCGAGCCGACAGAAGCCTGAAGCTGGAGGCTGACCTAGCAGACGCCCACCCATTCCCGATCCCCTCCCTGCGGCTTCCCATCCTCTATAAATACCCCATCGATAGCAGGTTGCTAAGGCAACCGTGAGGAGGCGCGAGGGATGCAGCCACGGGAGTGAGGATGCTGCAGTCGCACATTTGTGTCCCCCCCAGGCTCCCCCCATCTCCGCCCCCGCTCCCGTCACTGCTGCCAGAGGAGGAAATCGTGCCGGGAGCGCACGGAGCGCGCCTGGAGCCGGGCCCCGAGGGGCTCCGGGGGTCCGCGCTGGGAGGGGACAGCTCCTCGGCAGGCCGGGGGTGGCCAGGCGGAGTCGGGGGCCCGCAGCCCCCGGTGACGCGCAGGGAGGATGCTGACCGTGCCAGCATCACGCACCGCGCTGCCAGCGGCTCTGCCGGATCCCAGCTAGAGTGGGGCTTTTCCGTGCCGAGATCCGCGGCGAGGAGAGGGGCAGGAAGGCTCGCCCTGCCAGGACAGCCCGCACACCCCACCCTGCTCCCGGCCGCTGCTCACGCTGCCCAAACCCAGCTCCGAATGATCCCCACTGCGCTCAGCCTCCGAGCCACCACGGCAGGGACCCCCAGGGCATCTGTCACCCTGCAGCAGGGACCCCAGCCCGGGTGGGCAGGGGCCTTCCAGCCCCCCTCCGCCTCCACAGCCACCCCAAGGCAGAGCTCTCAAGCCTAAGTGTCACCCCACGGCCGAGACCCCCAGCTCACCTGTGACCCCACAACAGGGACCCCCAGCTCACCTGTGACCCCACAACAGGGACCCCCAGCTTACCTGCCACCCTAAGGCAGAGCCCCCCTGCCTACCTATCACCCCATAGTGGGGTCCCCTTCCTCACCTATCACCCCATAGTAGGGTTCCTTTCCTCACCTATCACCCCACAGTGGGGTCCCCTAGCTCACCTGTCACCCTATAGCGGGGTCCTCTAGCTCACCTGTCACCCTATAATGGGGTCCCCTTCCTCACCTGCCACCCCACAGCGAGGTCCCCTAGCTCATTTTCCACCCCACAGAGGGGTCCTCTTCCTCACCTGACACCCCACAGAGGGGTCCCCTTCTTCACTTGCCACCCCATAGCGCAGTCCCCTTCCTCACCTGTCACCCCACAGCGGGGTCCCCTAGCTCACCTGCCACCCTACAACAGAGACCCCCGTGTCACCTGTCACCCCACAGGGGGCTCCCCCAGCCCACCTCCCCGCCTGTGCGGGGTCTTCCCAGCCCCACCCTCCGCCCCACCGACACGTCCTCCTCGTCTCCGCCGTTCGCCGCGCGCCCAGACACGCCGCGCCAGTCCCAGGGCTCGCGGCTCCCCGCTCCGCGGCACCAGCCCGTTCATCCCCGCTGCAGCCCCGCAGCCGCGGCCCCGTGGCCCCGCTTTCCTGCCCGCGGCCCCGCTGCCGCGCCCCGCGCCCCCCGGTACCTCATGGCGGCCCCGCGCCCGCCGCAGCCGCTCCCTCCCGCCGACGGGCAGGGGAGGGGAGGCTCCGCCCCCCGCACGCCCCCTCCCGCCTCTCGGCCAATCACGTCCCTCCGCGGCCCGCACGCGCCGCCTTCCTCTTGCAATGGGGATGCGGGGCGGGAGTGTGGGCGGGGCCACACGCTCCTCGCCCTGCTCGGGATGGCTCGACAGCCAATCAGAGCGGGCTGCGGCTGCCGGGCGGTGCCGCGGTGGCCGCTGGGAGTCGTAGTCCTGAGCCCCGCCGTGGTGCGGCGGAGCGCGGGCGCGGCCCGGGGGCGGCCCCGGGGGTTGGCCGGGGCTCCGGGCGGGTCCGGCCCCGCTGCCGCACGCAGCGCCGTCTGCCTTCCCCTGCCTGCCTCTTGCCTCACGCCGGCCTGCTGGGGCTGCCAGCATTCCGCGGGTGTCCCGCGGTCACATCCCCTGTCGCCTCCTCCTCTTCATCATCCCCCTCTTCTTCTTCCTCCTCCTCCTCCTCCTCCTCGCTGCCCGAGTCCTCATAAAAGCAGAGGGTGGCCTGCACCGGGAAGTTCTCCAGCAGCTTCTCCCCCACGTTGTAGAGGTGGTCAAAGGCCTTGGACTTGGGCCAGAGGAGCCTGTGAGGGAGAGCCGGGCTGAGCCCCCGCCCGCCGCGCCCGCCCGCCCGCCCGCGGCCCCGGGCCGGGACACCTACCTCACCGGGTGCTGGAAGAACGCCAGCGCTTTGCTGGGACCGCCGTGCCCCTCCGCTGCCCGAGCCTGGGGAGACACAGCCGGGTGGCACCGGGCTCCCGCTGCCCTGTGTGGCACCGGGTGCCCCGCGCCCAGCACACCCCCTGCCCTGCCCCGAGCGCCCACAGCCCCGCAGGGAAGCTGCCCCCACAGCCTCCCGACAGGCTCTCTGCCAGGGTAATCTCTCCCCCGTGCTCCAGAGCGGGTGCCCAGGCATCCGCTAAGGCCCTGAGGAATGCCCGCGGCCCTTTCCGGGGTCGGGTCCCCTCAGGGCTCAGCCCGGCCCAGGGATGCTCCCGGGGGTGGGCACGGCACAGCCGCGGGACACAGGGTTCCGTGGGACACAGTGAGCCTCTGGGGCGAGAGGCGGGTTTTGTGCCAGCAGGGACCCCACGGGGACAGTGCCACACTCACAGCGTCCATCTCCTCCCGCCGCGGCGCGGGTCCCTCCTGCGCTCGGGGCAGCCACGGTCTCCAGAGAGGAAGGGCTCTAGGGGCGAGAGCAGCTTCAGCCCCACAGCCTCACCCCCGGCCAGCCCTGCCCCAGTGCCAGCCCCCTCTGTGCCACCCACGGCCGCTGGCATCAGCGGTGTCCCCGGCGCCGCAGCCTTCACCCAAACCCAGCCGGAGCTTCCCCATCCCTCCTTCCTCACCCCTGCCCGCCCCACTCCCCCCAGTACCTCGCCCCTTGCTCCGGCCCCGGGGCTGGGCAGGCACTGGCCACCGGCACCCGGAGCCCGTGGGCAGGCAGGCAACAGGCAGCAGCTTGCATGGTGGCAGGAGACGCTGTCCCTTGTGCCACTGCAGACCCTTGGTGGGACACATTTATAGCCCTGCCTCGGCCGTGACTCACAAATTCTTTGGGGCAGGGCAGCGAGGGGCTGGGGCTGTGGGGACAGCGGTGTGAAATTTGTCCCAGTTGTGTAAACAGAGGGCCGGGGGGAGGCTGGGGGCGGAGGGGCTGCGATCTCTGGTGGAAAAGCAAAACACAAAAGGGAAAATTTGGACACCATTTGTGAGAAAATCCCCGGGGGGGAACAGGGGAGGGTAGAGACAATTAACAAGGATGATTAAGTGCTCTTTGTAGCCATTTGCATAAGGGAAGCAGGGGAGATGGGAAAGGGATGGGAAATGGTGGGGCAGCATCATGGGCATGGGACTGGGACAGTGCAATGGGCATGGGATTGTGTTGGGCATGGGACAGTGTTAGGCATGCCACGGGCACGGTGTGGTGGGCTTGTGCTGGGGACAGCACAAAGGGCATGACGAGGACACTGATGGGCTACAGTGGTGGCAAGCACAGGGCCACCAGCAGGCAGCTGATGGCTCAAGAGCAGACAGGGAGGGAGGACATGTGGCAGGGATGGACCCCAGGCACTATCAGGGCAATGGTCTTGCTCAGGCACCCATGGCCCATCACCCCAGGGAGCTGCCAGATGCCATTTCCACAGATGGCAGAGCAAGCACTTGCCAGTGTTCCCTGCCCTCTCCTTTGAGTTTTTGAGATGTGGACCACAGCAGGAGGGACAGAAAAGCTCCTCAATGTGAGGGTGCAAGGCTGATGCAGCCCCTGGCCCCAGCAGGGCCACTCATCCTGTCCCTGCCCACTGCTCCTGCCCAAGCACTCGAAGAAAAGTGCCACTGGCAAACTGGTCACCTCCTGCTCCTGGGAGAGTTTCAGTTTGGGACAAGGAAAGAAAATAGCAAATGGTCCCTGCTGTAGCTCTGCTATCAGCATCCAAACACTGCTGTCCAAACGCTGGCCGGACCCTGCTCAGCTCCCAGCACAATTTGTCACCAGAGGCCCTCCCTGCCCCTCTCCATCTGTGGCAGCCGGTGAGCAGGAGGGGGCACAGGGCCAGCTCAGCTCTCATTACCTTCCCCATTTGCTCCTCATTTGGGCCAGTAGTCTTACAACAACAAACCCCGTGGAGGACAAGCAGGGCCAGGAAGAGTAAACCAAAAGTTCAGGCTGGCTCTGAGGAGTGGGGAGCTCAACCTGCTGGTGTTTCACTGCCCCTCAAACCCCAATACAGGCAGCACAGCCCAGAGCGGACACATGGATGGTGGCACAGTCACCTGCCAGCCACTAAGGCTGTCCAGAAGGATGACAAGAAGCCTCAAACCTGAACACATTAGGTGAACATGCCCCAGTAATTCACAGACAACCAGCAAAGCGAGGCATCCCAGCTCCCCAATCCTTCCCGACACCCAAAGGGTTTAATTCTGATCTGCAATAAGCCTCTGATCCAGGAGATTTGCAGGTGGATTGTGCAAAGCTGTAGCTGAACAACTGCAGCCCCTGATCCCCTGGGCTGGGGCCCTGGCTGCTCACCCTGCCCGAGCAGCCGCCTCCAGTGCTGGGTGCAGCCACCCTGGGTCCCACCCTGCACCTCCAGCCACCTCCGTGAGTACCTCAGAGCTCCCTCCCTCACCTCCTGCTGGCACCCTGAGCACCCCGAGCACCCCAGGTGTTTCTTTCCCAGCAGCTGAGACAGTGTGGGAGGTCTTGGTGCAAGCACAGGGGAGCAGACGGAAATGTGGGAAACTTTGGTGCCAAGCGTTTGAGGGGCAGCGGGGGGCAGGAGCAGGGGCAGGAGCAGCAGCAGGAGCAGGGGCAGGCCTGGGTGGTGGCAGCACGCTCAGCCAGGAGCGTTCCCAGGGTGAGGGAGGCCACTGGCCGCCGTGCCGGGCTCAGCCCAGTTTCGCAAGGCACCACAGAAGGAGGAATTTTTAAACAAAGCAGAGGGAAAACAAACCAGCCCTGTCCACCACCTCTGCCAACCTCTCCCCGCCCGTGTACAGGGCTGTGGGCGGGAGGTGGCACTGGCACAAAATCCCAGCAATAGCTGCACCCCGAACTGCTCACCCCTCCTCAGGACAGGTCACCCTGCTTGGCTGGCATGCTTCCACAAAGCATCCCAAAGGAAGTGCCAGCCCTGGTGTAATCCTGCCCTCTGTGCGCCTCCAGGCTCTCCTGGGGATGCAGGTGTCACTGTCACATGCATCCCTCTCCATCCTTGTCCCCAGCAGCACAGAAGGGCTGATATCCATGGTTCAGTTGCAGGTGGCCATGTCCCTTTGTCCCAAAGCAGCTCGGTGTGGATCGTGGGTGACTGCAGATGCCTTGGGTGAGCCCCATGCAGATGGGGACGAGGTGCCATCCCCTTTCCTCAGCTGGGGGAGCTTTGCCTTCAGCACCTCAAGTCACCTCCAGCAGGTCCCAAATAAGATGGTGCAGCCATAGCTTTTTGGCTTCCTCAGCTCGAGACACCACAGAAGACAGGAGCCCCGAGGAAGGCAGTGGGCTTTCCCCAGAGCAGCAGCTGGCTCTCCATCCCTGCCCGCGGCGTCAGTGCAGGGGAGGGCTTGGCGTCCTTCCTGGGCAGCGCTGCTCCGCTCCGGAGCCCGCCTGGGGAGATAGCGGGGGTGAAAGGGCGCCTGGCGCTCCTCCACGGGCTCGGGTCAATCGTTAATCGGGGAGGGATTGCTCTCCGCTCCCGCAGGTAACCTCCCCGCGGCTCCCACCCCGCACAAAACCAGCACCCCCGGCAGCGGGGTGGAGCTGCAGCGCTGCGAGCCGAGCCTCTCGCAGGGCCATGGGAACGTGAGCACACGGGAGGGACCTGGGCGACAAGCTGCGAGCCTTGGCTAGCGACAGAGGTGACAGCCAGCCCTCACCATGGTGTCCATGGGGCTCCAGCTGCTGGGCTACACCGTGGCCTTCCTGGGCTACATCGGCACGCTGACGGCCACGCTGCTGCCCAGCTGGAAGACCAGCTCCTACATCGGCTCCAGCATCGTGACGGCCGTCAGCTTCACCAAGGGGCTGTGGATGGAGTGCGCCACGTACAGCACGGGCATCACCCAGTGCGACATCTACAGCTCCCTGCTCAACCTGCCCGCCGACGTCCAGGCGGCCCAAGCCCTCATGGTGAGCTCCTGCGCCGTGTCCTCGCTGGCCTGCCTGATCTCTGTCCTGGGCATGAGGTGCACCGTCTTCAGCCAGGGCTCGCCGGGCAAGGACCGGGTGGCGGTGGCGGGCGGCGCGGTCTTCGTGCTCGGGGGGCTGCTGTGCTTCATCCCGCTGGTGTGGAACATCCACGTGGTGCTGCGGGATTTCCGCAACCCCGTCATCCCCGACAGCATGAAGTTCGAGCTGGGGGAGGCTCTTTACCTCGGCATCATCTCCTCCCTCCTCCTCCTCGTCGGCGGCTTCATCCTGTGCACCTCCTGCCCTGCCCGGGACACCACGGCCACCTACACCAGCGCCTACCAGCCCCAGCTGCTGGCCAGCAAGAGCCCCCAGCCCTCTGTCAGCCAGGCGCAGAAGACCAAGAGTGAAGTCAATTCCTACAACCTGACGGGATACGTGTAGGGCTGCAGGGGGGAACCAGGCTGGCACCTCTCCCGGCTCCCCAGAGCGTCCGGGCTGGCACCAAGGGAGCGCGGTAAGAGCAGAGGGCACGGCAGCATCGCCCTCTCATCTGCTTGGGGAGGGGGGGTTGGCCCCGCTCTCTCCCTGGGATTCTGAGAGCCTTGTGACTGCTCGGAGATCCCAGCTGGTGGCTTACACTGCTGCAGGACCCTGAATCCACCTTCTGTTCTTTACTCCGCGCTGCCAGCTCGCAGGCAGCTCCTGGCACGGCGGGACCCCAGCCTGCAGCCCCAGTGAACCTGCCTGGAAAGGGGAGTGGGCTTGCGGGAGCGGCCCGTGCCCATGGAGGCACCGCGGCAGGGTCAAGGGCATGTGCGTGGTCTGGAGTCGCTGCTGGGGGCGGGGGGTGAGTGCTGGTTGCAAACCGATGTCGCAATAAATCCGTCTTTCTAGCCACACTGTTTCCGAGCTTTTCTCTGCAGCGGGCTGTGGAGGGGGCCACGATGTGAAAGGTGCCCCTGGCCCCTGCTCTGGCCTGCCTCCCCCACTCCACAGCTGATGGCTTTGTCACCCGGGAGCCCCGGCAGGTGGGAGCGCTGCTGAGGGGGAGGAGGGCCACTCCCGGGCACAGTTTGTCCCTGGGCACCACGCTGGGAGGTTGCCATGCACCACTAGTGCCAGGGTGCCAGCAGCGACATGCAGAGCTCCCTGTGGGACAATAGCAGGCAGCACCTTCCCTCTGTCCCCCAGCCCTTTGTGCTTCTAGGAGTGCAGGCGTGATGAGACTGGGGTGCCCACAGGGGGTTCATTGCCCCTGTGTGTGGCACACCCATGTCCCCAGGTGGTGGGCAGCCCTGGCATTCCCACATCCCCATCCCAGTGAGCACTGGCACCCTGGGCAAACATGGTCCCAAGGACCAGGGGCAGCTCCTGCCTCTGGTGGAGTCTGAGCAGCCCAGCTCAGCTGCAGAGAGGCCTCACAGGCAGGTCCTGAGCCCCAAGGCCCTTGAAGGGTCTCTTTTGGGAGAAATGCCACCAGTGAGACACTGGAAAGCTGCAAGGGATGGGCAGGCAGGAGCCAAGCGTGTGCTGGGACAGGCTGTGTGGCTGCAGCCCTGCACAGCAACAGCAGCAGGGCATCCACACAGGCTGCTGGTGGCACTGGGGGACGCTGGCACATGCCGGGCCATGGCAGGAGAGAAAGTGCAGGCAGCCCAGCCCCACGGCCCACAGGGAGCAAGAACATTTTAATCCATCTGCTGCACCACTGCCCCAGGTGAGAGAACCCCTGCTCTGCTGTGCTACAGCACAGGGCCACCCAGAGACCACCCCAGGAGACCTTGGTCTACCTGCTGACCCCTCATAAAGCAATTTAGATTAGGCCATGGAGAGGAAAGGACCATGTTCCCCACTCAAACGTCACCACCGTCACCCTTGCACCAGTGAAATCATGTTTGCTGTGGGGTTAGCACGCTCCTGATAACGTTGGGTCACGCTTTCTCCGCTCCTCAGAGAGCAAGGAGCTACACAGGAACCCATCCCCAGGGTTCCACTCGCTGAAGGGGACCAAGGTGGACATCCAGGCAAAGGCCAGTGACCCCATTTCCATGGCCAAGGGACAGAGCACAAAGCACAGAATCAACCCTGGACCAGCTGACTTATTTATTCCTGCCCTGGGGAAAAGAGTGCCCTGGGGCGTGCAAGAGGCTTAACCTGCTGGTGCAGCCCCCCAGGAGATGCTGCAAGTTCTGAGGGTCCTTTGGCCATAAACGTTTTTGGGTTTTGGTGTTTTTTTGGTTTTTTGTTTGTTTTTTTTTTCTGGGCAGCTGGTGGAGAGAGTGGGAGAGAAAATAGTTGGCACAAAATGTCACACCTTAAAGAGGAGGAATTCCTGGGCACTGGGTCCTTGCCCCTCGCCTCCCACTCCTGTCTGCGAGCAGAGACTGTGCTAATTAAACAAAGGGCCATTTGAAACACTCAGATCTTGATTAATGCTGGGCTTATTAATGCCTTAATTCAAGGAGCAGAAGGGAAGCTTTCCCCAGAAGGAGAAAGGCAGCTGGCACAGGCAGAGGCAGGCAGGGCTCAGAGCTGGGGTACAGAAACACAAAAACACTGGAACAGGGACCAGCCTTTCCCCAGGCCCCCGGGCCACCAGCCCTGCCACAGGGGAGCCCCTGCACTAAGCAGTGGAGTTCGGGGAGGGGAACATTTCTCCCCTCCAGCTTCCCTGGCCTTCAATGCAAATGAACCCAACAAAGTGAAACCTGGCTGCGGGGCAAGGCAGGTTGACACAGATTTTCCACTTGGGAAGGAGGATGGGAAGGGAGGGGAGGACACTGGGTGCACAGCTGTGGTGGCAGTGGTTATCTCTGCATCACGCAATAGCCATGCTCCTCATTATTGATAAAGCAGGTTCTTGAGGGCAGCCTGGATGTCACCCAGCCTAGGGACGGGGAGAACAGGAGCCCAGACTGCCCCGGGGCAGCTGTGCTGATGGTGAGTGTGAGTGAGGGGATGGAGCCCAGCCAGCCAGCACAGAGCCAGCCCCTCACAAGGCTCTTGCCCCTCACCAGCTCAGTGGCAAAAGCTGAGGGTGCTCCAGGATTCCCTGCAGGAAAGGCACAGGGGACAAGTTCAGGACACGATGGGGGAAGCAGGGGTGGGCAGAGGGCCGGGTGGGGAAGGGCTCTCTCCATCTCAAGCCCCCCCCTCACAGGCAGTGTGGTGGAGTGGGGAGCCTTGCAGCCCTCACTGGAGGGCCAGCTGCAGTGACTAATCCCCTGCCATAAGGAAATGAGTCCTTCCCCTCTCCTCTTTCCCCCCTGCATGATGCCTCGATGGAAGGAACAGGGCAATAAAATAATGTGCCCTTATCTTCAAAAGTGATAGAGGCACTATAAACACTTAGTACACCTCAACCCGGGATCAGGGACTGCAACCTCACCAGCTGGTCACAAGAAATGTGCAGAAAGTCACAACTTCTTCCAAAGAGGGAGCAACACAGCCCATCTCCAAGGGCCCTGCACCCAGCCCTTGCCCACCAAGCACTGCCCCAGGTGCAAGCAGAGCCTCTTCTCGTGCAGAGCACTGGGCAGGGATGCCCAGGTGAAAAAGGGCACAAGTTTGCCCTAGACCCACCAGGATCACACACCTCCTGCCTCCCTGGAGCCCTCCAGGCAAGCAGAGCTCCTTCTGGCATTCCCAAACTGCTGCTCATCTCTGCCTAGCACAGCTGACCTAAAGCAGCAGCACATAATCCATGCAAGCTCTCTGGGGAATATCAGACCACGTGCTGGGAGGGATCATCTCTGCCCACAGCCCCCAGGAATTGCTCAGATAGGAGAGGTGGGAGGGGGAAGGAGGTTCAGGCCAGGTTTCTGAAGGGCTGAGGCACTTGGAAAGGACCAGCACATTCCTCCACCCTCTCCCCAGCCACAGCACACTCCCAGCTGCCTCCCACACTGTGTCAGAGCCTCCTGGCCCCTCAGCAAGCCAGGGCTGATATGGAAGATTGCCCATGGCTCTGCAGCAGCCTTTTTGGGAGCAGCAGAGGATACACAACCAAAAGGGGCTGCTCCAAACACCCCAAATCCTGACTGCCAGGCTGGGCTCAAATCAAGTACTGGCAGGAATGGGAGAGGCATTCCCTGCCCCAGCCCCTGAGCCCAGGAAGGAGCCTCATGGATTCACCTCTGGGTGTCTGTGGTGCTCACTGGCAATTGCACTCACATTTCACTCCAAAGGCTGCCTGCCCTCCTGGAGCCATGGGGATGGCTCTGTCTGGAGTCAGGGCAGAAATGGGCTGTTGGTGCCCAGCTCTTCTGCTTCTGCTGGGAGACCTTGCACTGGAGGTGAGGAACAAGCTCCTCTTTGGAGAACACCTTCCATCAGGGAAAAAAGGTGCACAAACTCATGGCTGTCCACAGCCTCCCAGGTGAGACCTGTTTAAAGGCACGTTAAAGGATCTTGAAGGAAGATATGAGGGCAGAAT